ATATAACCAATTATTGGTGTGTGTTTTTCATCAGTGAGTGAAAAAACAAAATGAGAGGAGTTTTAATGGTGAATTTTGGTGTTTTTCTTCTGTTCTGTTTTGGGTTCTTGTCTAACTCCTTTGGACAAGATAATCTTGATTCTGATATAAACTCTACTTCTGCTTCTGTTTACATTGTTACACTAAGACGAGCTCCTACTTTTCATCTTCTTCAACAACAAGAAGAAGCAAAAGTGAAAAGTGTCATAGATAAACACCACCAAGGATCCAAACATGGAGACACTTCAAAGTTTACCAAACCAAAACTCAAACCAAGGTAATTGAATTATGCTTTGGAGTTCACTTATTAGTTACATGCATTGTACTGAACAGCAATGGAAGCTGGATTTTGAGTTTTAAAGTTTCACTCTTTGGTTATATGGTTACAGGAACATGTCAAAGTCACATTATTGGAGATCATCAATTACTCAAGCTCATGATTCTTTGCTTAGAAATACATTGAAAGGAGAGAAGTATATAAAGCTTTATAGCTTCCATTATCTCATCAATGGCTTTGCTGTCTTTGTTAGCTCACAACAGGTATAATCTTTTCATAATTACTTTAATCTCTCTATGAGAGCTTATGATTACAAGAAAAGAAGAATGAAACTGATGTAAAATTTTCATCTTCTAAAAGGCTGAGAAGCTTTCAAGGAGAAAGGAAGTAGCAAACATAGTGTTGGATTTTTCGGTTAGGACGGCGACTACTTATACACCTCAGTTCATGGGTTTACCAAAAGGTGCATGGGTTAAAGAAGGTGGATATGAAACTGCTGGAGAAGGAATTGTTATCGGGTTTATCGATACCGGCATTGATCCAACTCACCCTAGTTTCAATGGCACTGACACTTCTAAGCGTCAGTATCCGATCCCTAAACATTTCTCAGGTGTTTGTGAAGTTACGCCGGATTTTCCATCGGGATCTTGTAATAGGAAACTTGTTGGAGCTCGACATTTCGCTCAGTCAGCTATTACTAGAGGGATTTTTAATTCATCTGAGGACTATGCTTCCCCTTTCGACGGTGATGGACATGGCACGTAAGTATAACGTCTTGGTAATGTTGCTGAATCATTTGAATATATTCACTTACTGCAGCTAAAGATTGTTGTCTTGATGAAACAGACACACAGCTTCCATCGCAGCGGGTAACCACGGGATCTCAGCTGTTGTTTCAGGCCATAACTTTGGAAGTGCTAGTGGAATCGCTCCTCGTGCGCAGTAAGCAAATTGCAAAATGCTTTTGCTAGTACCACCAAAGCATTGAGTGTACTAATCATGTCATGTGTTTTGCTCTGTTCCAGTATATCTGTTTACAAGGCATTGTACAAGAGTTTTGGAGGATTTGCTGCAGATGTTGTTGCTGCTATAGATCAGGTAAAGCATTTACCATTTACCATTAGTGAATGTATCTATCTTTTCATGACACTTTTCAGTGGTTTATTAATTTGGTTAGGCAGCTCAAGATGGAGTTGACATACTAAGTCTATCCATCACACCTAATCGACGTCCTCCCGGTGTAGCCACGTTCTTTAACCCTCTAGATATGGCTATGCTCTCCGCTGTTAAAGCCGGAATATTCGTTGTGCAAGCTGCAGGGAACACAGGTCCTTCTCCTAAGAGCATGTCCTCTTTCAGTCCATGGATTTTCACAGTTGGTGCTGCTTCTCACAATCGAGTTTACTCGAACTTGATAATCCTAGGCAACAATGTAACTATACCAGGCGTAGGACTTGCACGTAAGTTCTTTTATTTCATTTCAAAGCATCAGCTAGTTTGTGTAATTACTTAGCTTTGATTTGCTGTTTTTG